ACTACTACTACTACTACTACCCTAAACCCTAAAGCCTAAACCCTAAACCCTAAACCGATACTACTACACTACTACCAAGGTCGGGAGCGGCAAGAGGGAGTCGACAAAGTGGAGCAGGCGAAGGGGGTCAAAAGCCTTTGACGTTAAGCCTTAAGCCGTTTAGGGTTTAGGGTTTAGGGTTTAGGCCTTATATAGGGGCCTCAATAGTTTCCTATACTATTTTGGTGGTTCCTCATTACAATTATACTGTAAAGAACCCCAAAACCCTATTCTACTTATTATTGAGGCCACTATATTAACCTAAACCCTAACCCTGGGTACTGCGCCCCCATACTGGAATAGTCTAGAAGAAGGCTCCTATGAATGGCCGTTTACATCTATCTATATTGTAAACACGATTCAAGCGTTACTGGCCGGGGGCAGTATCCAGTCCTAGCCTATGGCCTTCTTTGACGGCATGCTTAGTAGAAAGGTGGGACCTTCTGAACAATTGGAGCTGGTAGGGCGTTTGAGGTTTAGGGTTTAGGGGAGGTACCGGCAGGGATTTAGCCGGATTCTGGGTTGCTATTGAAAGTTGAGTTGACGCAGTTCAATACCGGGCCTTGATAATTAGAATAGGGTCCTGGGGTATATAAAACTAGAACTAGAGTAGGAGCCCTCAGGAAGAGCCTTGCTTTTTACCCGGGCCTCGACATTCTGCTTCTAAGCGGATGAGGTTTTCGGTAGGCGCAGCATGATGGAGGATCCCCCGAGAAGAAAGCCCTGCACCCTAGTCCGAAGCATGCTTAAGAAAAGAGGCAGGGGTTCGCAAAGCTAATGGTGGGTTTTAGCACCTCGCAGGACTCCTTTGCCAAAACATGTTGACAGGTCACACACACCGATGTGCGAAACCCTTACCAAGAACCTCTTCTTGCATCTTAACACCCTCCCCCAACTCGAAAGACTTGATTTCAAAGCCCGTCGAAGGTTTCCAAGACCTCCGCGAAATCTAAAGCGCCCCCCTAAACTGTTGCAGCAACAGGTGTAGGCACAGCAAACCGCAGCCTGAGACGGCACAACCTCTCAAAAAATACCCAAAAACATCTGAGGGCCTCAATGAACCCTAAACCCTAAACCCTAAACCCTAAACCCTAAAAAGCCTGTAACAAAAACTTAAACCCTGGGTCGCAAGGCGCTGGACTCGATGCTCCGAAGGCTCGAGAGCCTTGAGGGCTTGGACGAGACACTCTCAGGCGCGAAGAAGTGCTTTGGTTTTGGGTTTAGGGTTTAGGGTTTAGGGTTTAGGGTATAGGGTTTTGGTTTTTGAGACTTTTAATCAAAGGGACGCGTTCAGCTTCAAGAAGTGCGCAGCTTGGGGCTTCGAGTCACGAGGCTTCAGAGCTTGCAAGGGTGGTTTGGCTGAAGCGGTTGGGCTGAAGGGTTTACGGTGGGTGGAGGGGGGGGTTTAGGGTATAGGGTGTAGGGTTTAGGATGGCGATCAGGGTTTGCCGTGACAGGATTTTGTCCCTCAGGGCCCGACTAATTCTTATAGGGTCTTAACTTAGGAGCCTCAAGAACTAACCCGGTTTAGGGTTTAGGGTTTAGGGAATATTATCCCCTAAGTTTCCCGATTATAATATCCCCCCAAGGTTCCTGATTGTAAGTAGACTATGAATGTAGGCCCAAAAAAACCCTATTATGAAGGCCCCTACAGGTTGGCGTTGATGGTGTTTGTTGGTTTAGGGTTTAGGGTTTAGGGGTTTCGGTACAAATCAATGCAGGGCCAGTCGTCTCGCGTTTTGGGGTTTGACTAGACAGTCAGGGTTGCGGGCTTAGGCTGTCTACGCCGACATCTACACCCGTCTTCAGAGGAAAACGTCTCTAAACCTTATAAACCCTAAACCCTACACCCCGAAACCCTACACCCCTAAACCCCAAACCTCTAAACCCTAAACCCCCTATATTAAGCCCATGGCCCTGAGCCCTCTACCACCTCCGAACCCCAGAAGCCGAAACTCCGGGGACTTCAAGGGCAAACAAAAAAAACAAACAAAGCTCACAGGGGGTTTAGGGTTTGGGACTTTTAGGGTTTTGGGTTTAGGATTTTTAGGGGTTCAGGGCTTTGGCTTTTTTTTGGGGGGGCTTAAGGTTTAGGATTTTTAGGGGTTTCAGCACTCACTCTCGGACATGCCTAGGCGAGGTTCCTGGTGCGGGGGCGAAAGCACTTTTTCAGGGGTTTCGGGTTTAGGATTTGTGGGGGTTTCGACTCTCACACTCGCACGCAGCAGGCA